TAACATTATACCGGTATTACCGTGAACGGTATAATATGGCCCAGCCCTAATTGTTTCCATGCATGCAGTTTGCTGTGTAAAGAGTGCTCTGGGTGCTGAAAAGCACTATATAAATTACAGTCCATTTACCAAGGACTAGCACAGACAGAACACTGCAGAAAAACTCAGCATTGGGTTCACTGGTGACTAACTTAGTAGTGTGACACTGGCCTGTTGAAGGGTGTACCCAGCCTCGCAGATGTGTGGGATAGGCTCCCATGAATTGGATAAGCGTGTCAGCATGAGAGGGATGGGCAAGAATAAAGAATTAAAGTAAATGAAATTAAATTTATATAGCGCCAAATCCTTTGGCGCTATATAAATTACATATTGTATTGTAAGGTAGTACACTCATTTGTCGAAACTTTAAACTTATGTGCCAGCCTTTAAAATGACTGTATATCAGTAACAACACATGAAAAAACAGTTTTCATCACCTGACAAAGACAGCTTCACATTTGGCATAATGCTAAGAAGCTTTTTCCAGCATGTTAGCATGAAGCTGAGAGCTGAGACTGAGTGATGCGACAGTTTGACAGGATGCAGGGTAGGTAGGTGTTGATGGTTGAATATGGGGGTGGAAGACAGGAGGTAGTGTTGGGAGGTATGTGACTTTGTGATGTGAACATGATGTGTTTGTAAAGCGACATGAAAAAAGGTATGAAAGCAAATATAGTTTGTAAATATTTATGCAGCTCTCTTCTTCTAACTAACAATAAAAGACCTTTCCTTTAAAAGCTCTGTGGAGATCAATCACAACACTGTCTCAAAGATCCTTTGAAAGCAGATGAATATGTTTTTTCAGCTTTATATTCTTCTTCAAAAAAATCCAGTGATCTCTCGCCCTCAAAGAGTGATTTCTGAATAAATGAGTAAAGATGCATGATGTATGCAAATGCTGCTAGACTGGAGACTAAAGGTCACAAGAAGGTTTGATTAGTATGGAGGAAAAAAAAAGATATGAAATTAAATGCTATGGCCTTCACAGCCATTCAGAGGATTCCTCTGCTAATTGGAGTTTAAAAATAGAGGGCATTATGGCCATCATGTCATGATAGCATCCCTACCACCTGAAACAGATTACATTTCTTTTAAAAATATAGAGCCTCAGAAATTACATGTTTTTTTGACTCTGTAATTATTTTTCTTAGCAGCTAATAGCAGGGTTGCAGTCTATCCCAACTGGCACTGAGACGTACCCCGAATAGGTACAATTACAGATTATAAGTGATTAGTGTGATTAGACTTCAACATATGTGCCTATGAGTGCCTATGATTGAACTTGCAACTCTACCATCTGGATGGATGGATGGATGGATGGATGGATGGATGGATGGATGGATGGATGGATGGATGGATAGATAGATAGATAGATAGATAGATAGATAGATAGATAGATAGATAGATAGATAGATAGATAGATAGATAGATAGATAGATAGATAGATAGATAGATAGATAGATAGATAGATAGATAGATAGATAGATAGATACAAACAACTTGCATGGGTGAGTGAATAATTTTGACAGTAAAGTGTAGTTGCCATCATACTCACCTTCTGTAACAGGTGTAACACCCTCCAAAGTAACATACTGCAATGCATTATTGTACTAAATAAATTTATTACATTACACTTACAACTGTGTCATGACAGTCCTATAATAATACAATACAATGATTGGCAGCAATGGGAAAGAAAATCTCTCTTTTAAGAGGAAAGTGTATGGTAATGTGAAAAATTATAGGCCTAAGTTTCCAAACAAAAGCTTGGTTTTGGCTATGAAACGTTAATGTGTAGCTTGTATTTTTGATTTTTGAGTGACCAATGAAATCTGACTTTATAACGTCATAAGTGGGCAATCACACCTGAAGAATGAAGACTGTGAAGTTTTTATAACATGAAAAATAAATCATCGTTCTTTGTGGAGTTCATTCCAGAAATAAACTGCTGGTTCATGCTACACTGATGTAAGTGAATAAAATGCTGCGGTTGAATGGGCTGACATTTTCTTCAGAAAAATACAGCATGACATGATCTTCATTAGCAACAGGAAGGCTTTTAGTATCAGATCAATGCTGGACTTGCCTTCCATTTAAAAAGCTTTATATCTAACCGCATAAAAATCACAGAACAGTGGATAGATGGATTGTTATTAAGTGCTGCCAGTAGTGTCCATTTCCTTTGATTTCTTTCTAATGTGACTGTCATGAAAATCTCATGAGAGGCTTTGAGTGCCCACATCAGTCCATCAGTATCAATCATTTTGCATCACTCGCTACAGGCTTATTTATTTAGTGATCTCGGGCAGCTTAATAATAAGGGATTTAATTTGTTCCATTCATCATGTCTCATGTAAAAAATATTACCAAAAAGCTCCATAGAAGAGGTGGGTCAGTCTAACAGACAGTTGCCCTCTTTGATCATAACAGCGTCAGGTTTCAGCTTTTCAAGGGGGTCGCGCAGAGCAACTGGATAAGCCACTGTGCGGTGATGCAGTTTGTTTTTCCAACATGTCTAGGAGCTGGGAAGACCTTTGACCTTCAGCCATCTGCAGTGAGTTCTTCTGTTCTTCTCTATTGTCTTTCTGAATTATTTACAAGACGACACTGACGCGTCAGCAGATTCATCAAGCGCACCATTGGCTGTGTCTCATTGTTTAGCCTGAGGAAAGACTTACTCGACCCCAAACGCCTCACTCTCTGTTAACCTAGGTCTCTTAATTTGATATAGCACAGACAAATGACACATAATGCACTAAATATTGCTGAGCTAGATCCAATCAAAAAACAACTTTGAATTTCAGTATTTAAAAAAAGTAAATAAAGAGCTTCTTTTGTTGCTAAATACAAAGACGTAGATGGTATCTTGCATATGATGTCAAGCTAAAATAAAAGCCAGTCATTCATGCCCCGTCCTCTTGACCTTCCCTTCACATCACAGAAAAAGCATTTCAGACATAGTGTGCATTTCATGCATTGGTGCACCAGCTCAAAGTGGGGTTATATGTGTCCTGATGTACACATCTGTGTGAGTGTGTGTCTTGCACAGTGAGAAAAGACATGGCTGACAAAATGTGCATTAGCTGGAAAATTGAGTCCCTTGTACTTTGCAAGTGCTGGTACAGTCACCTCAACATTTTCATGCCTTATTACAGAAAACCTGCTCAGAGCACCGAGCGCAGAAACACATGGCTGACATTTTCTTTGATGTAAACCGACAAAGAATAAACAACGAATGGCCCGAATCTCCTTATAAGAGAGCGAGGCATCAAAACCATCATAGCCAACCATGCATTACAGAGCATCACAAGTGATATATACAACCCTGAAATTAGACACCGTTTCTAAAGGTTACCTGCTGAAATCTCGAAAAGGTTAAACAAACAGCACAAAGTAAAAATTCGATGAAAAGAGACACTTTCCATACTGATAAAAATACCATTCGTGACTATTCAAAAGTGCCGTCTACCACAGTCGAATTTGATTCCTGGTAACTGCTGTCACATTTAATATCAGACGTCTGAGACGGGTCTCGCTCTCGTGGCATTTGAAAGTTAAACGTTTCTTTTACAGCTGATTTGAAATTAAAGTGTTGGGATTAAAGCAGAAACGAGCTATGTCCAGTAAGTGGTGTGACTTTCAGAAACAGTTTAAACAGTTTGAAATTACTAGAAGGTTTCATTAAGGAAGCAGCAGAATTTAGAATTATTTCTAATGCAGGATTTTCAGGTGACGCAGGAGGTTTTACTCTCGGTGAGATGTGCTAGCACAAAGCACGCACTCTGTTCAGTGTTTCAGTCTGGTTTAATAATGAAGCAAAACAACAAACATATAGTAATCCCCATAGCCATGTTGTGTTCCTTAATTCCTAGAAATTGGCTCTTTTTTGTTGTTTTTTTTTTTTTTTATCTCAGATGTTCTGTTTTTAGCATTTCTTTCTCAGATTTGATGACACCTGCTGATTGAATAAATACTTGTTTTCTCAACACTTAATGTTCCTGTGTCCACATACCCTCTGGCTACCTGCAGCATGGGAACACTCAGAGACTGAACAAGACATAGGCACCAATACACTTACGAAAAGAAAAAAAAGCCCACGCTGTTTCTTCTGCAGGTAAGTGACAACCTGCTGTTTACACAGCTTTTACACAACAGCGTTTACACAACCTGGATCACAGGGAAACATATTGATTTTAATAAATGTAAAAATTACCTAAGTACTCACACTCCTAACAATTTTGACAGAAATGGCTGAGCCGATGAGTCACAATTATTTAGTGACTTTGTGTTTTTTCTAAAATGATGAACTAAAATGAGCTGCATGAACATTTCTGAGGCCACTGCTGCTAACACTAAAGTGAATCAAACTCCCTGCAGAAGCACACTGTATTTGACAGCCTATTTCACCGTGTGTGGCTGCTTTTGAGCAGAATGAAGTGCTGAATTAATGTTTTATGAGCGTGTCTTCGTGACCCTCCTCTCCCCCTGCCTGTAATGTAAAAGGGGATGCAGCTTCCCATACATTATCTATACAGAGTCTTCAGTTGTGGTCTCCTGCTTCTCCTGATTGTTGAAAGAAAACAAGGCTGCCGCCATCATGAAAACACTCATGAGCAGGTGTAAAATAGGAGGTCAGTTTTTTCCTCTTATTTATGATGTTTGTGTTGTCAGTTTTATATGAGAAGACTAAATATATAAAACTTTTACTACTGCTAAAACATTAATAATATTATTTTTGTTTTTTTACTTTAAGCACATAAGTACATGCAATATTAATTAAATGACTCACATCCCAGCCATTGCCGACTTTTTTGTCACAATGAAAGAACCAAGCTCAGTTTTTTATTTTTACTGCCATCACTACTTAGAAATGGCTGTCTGTTAGCATGGTTATGTTTTTTATATATCAGTATACTGATCAGGTACCCTATGACACATCACCCTATGACCCTGATGGGTCATAGGGTACCAGGAGTACAGTGGCTACATTGGTAGTCCTGAAGTAAGCTTACATAAGCCCTGATGAAGGCCATCAGAGTTGGCCTTCCTGAGGTGGAATTTCATGGAACACTCATGGGGTGGAATTCTGGTAGTTCTTATGACATCACTGCTATTGCACAGTTACAGTGCAGGTTTAAATGTTACAACTGAAACATATTTTTGACTCCAGCAACAAGCAGATACACACACAGCTGAACTAGGACAGTTTCATAGAGCAGTTTCTTTGAAAAAAAGGTGAGTTTTGGGGGAACTGCTTTATAAGTGAAACTTACTTTTGACGCTGTAACTTTGATAGCTGATGGTAGATATTTACAGTGAGATTTTTGAGCATGCCCAACAGTACAGATGGGAAATGTACTGCTTAACTTGAATAACTTATGTCTTTGTGGGATCTTTAAAGCTCAGATGACGGAACAAGGAGATGGGGCCCATGCTCAGCCTAATGAGGGTAAGAACTTGATCTGTTATTGTACAAAAGAAACATAATGCAGTGTTGAAGTTTCTTTTGATTAGCTGTGACTTTGCTAACTGAACTTTCATGTAGAGCAACCACTCTTGGCTGAAGATGGTAACTGGGGAGATATGGACAACTTCTTTGAAAATGGTGTGGAATATGTTATAATGTTTGCACCACGTATCTTTGAAGTTGCGAGACTTTGGGAGCCAGAGCAGCTTAACAACAACAATGGTGATCACATCAATCAGAATAATTTCTTCAACATTCATTTTGAAATTGATGACAACAACTCTGATGATGGAAATGATGGCAATAATGCTGATGATGAAAATGACCACAATAACAGAGATACTGAAAATGACCACAATTATTGCAATTATAATTTTGCCGATGATGATCAAAATGCTGACAGCAGCAACGATGAAGAAGAACGCAATGAAGCTCATCAAGATGAAAATGACCTTGCTGCTGCTGAGGTTGACTATGAAGTCAACCCGGATGAAGGAGAAGCAGCGGAGGATCTGCTTCCTGGAGGATTTGGGAGACAGTTTAGAGAGGAAGACAGTGATGATGAGAAAAGTCATGCCAGCGAACAGTTCCACTGGTGGGATGAATTTGCTGACAGCGCCTCTGAAGAACAAGACTCCCTACTTGAAGGCAATAAAGAAAGCGATGAGGGTGATGAAGACGAGAGGTGAATCCAAAAGTGACATGCCAACCGTCACTCAGAGTGACTGAATGGAACCTCTTTAATAAAAATGCATCTTCTACTCAGTTGTCCTTTGATTAAATACGAGCACTGCAACACACTTGTTTTTAAAAAGATATAAAACTGCTTTTGTAAAACCAAATTACTCTTGCAGAATAGATGAAACCAAGGTATGGCAGTATTCTGATTCTGATATTTAAACACAATCAATGTGCCATCCTACCAAAACAACTTAACACATAAACTTTAAAAGTGTAACAAGATGCTGAAAAATAGTGCTAAAACATCAGTCCTCAACCACAACATTTACTGTAATCCAGATGCTGATAATTTTTTTTTAGATGTGACATTGACAGGATAGATTAGAGTGTGATGCAGAGTCCACAGACTACTAAATGTTTAACACGTACAAGGGACACCAGCAACATGACGAGATACTATGAACATCTCGGGAGCAAAAGGTAAACGGACTGGTACTTATGCAGCACTTTACTACTCTATTTGAGCACTCAAAGCCCTTTTTTTTTTTACTACATTCACACTAAAAGGGCCAACTCTGTATGTAGTAACATGCCCAAGGATACTTTGATTACAGGACTCAAGGGGTCAAACCAGCAATCTTCCAAATGGTGGATGACCTCTTCTACTTCCTGATCCACAGTAACTGGGCGGTTACTGGTTATTTTAGTGGCGGTAGAGAGGATGGCATGACATGACAAGAGGTAACAAGAGGATGGCATGACATGACAAGAGGTAACAAGGAAAGCAGAGACAGTATGGGAACTAAACACAGCTGAAAACAATCACGATAAACCGCTACCAAAACAAAACAGGAAGTTAGCCACAGCTAATCAGGAGAGCAAGAAAGAGCTTGACACAAAGGAAGACAGGTATTGGACAGAAGAACGATAGACAAGTACAGAGAGAAAACAGAAGGAACCGAAAGGGAACACAGAGGGAACTAAGTAAATAGAACAAATAGAAACAATAATGGAACGAAATTACTATAAGAAATAAGGGGCTCACAACAACTTGGGAAAGAAATCAAAACAGGAATAATAGTAATAACAAAACTGTGAGGGACTAAGCAGCCAAGGCATAGAGGACACAGGCAAAAAAAAGATATCTTCAAAAAGGGTTTATTTCAACCCTCAAAAAGTTCAAAAAATGACAAAGTTTTATTAGTTTTAATATTTTAACTAGTTTTAATCTTAAAAATAAACACACTGGTTGGTCTAAACAGTGTAAGAATGTTGAATGTTCACAGTTTTGCTTCATCATTTTAGGATCTGGATAATTTCATTATAAAGTTGTTAAACTTATTGCATAATTTCTCTTCTGGAGGAAGAAGAAATATATGCAGAACTAGCTGTTGACTGATTTTCATGATGAGGGTGTGCAGGAGGTGCTATGATGAGGCAACATAATGACATTGGATGAGCCCATTAGAAACATGGGTTTTGCAAGTGATTATATTTTCAGATCAGCATTGCGTGAGGCGCATGTGGTTGTTATTCAAGGCCATGAAAAATTTGTAATTAAGATGTATTTGGTACAATTTAATAATCTAACTGTAAAACGTGTGTCTGTATGACTGTCCTCTGTTTTTCTTAGTGCCTCATCATCCAATCTACTTTACTGTAGGAGGCCAAGAAAGTACAGTGTTAAGAACAAAGTCATTTGGCTGAGTAGGTGGCTTACTTTCAATGATGACATCATGATCCTTCACCATTAGGACCCACTGACAGAGCATTCACAAGAGCTGACTTACTGCAGCTTATTCTGTACTCAAACTGTAACTAAATGTATTATTACCCTCCACCTTCTTTTCCCTCAATGTCAAGTTGTTTTGGATGCTATCTCGGGAATTGGTTCTGCCACTACTTCTTTTAAAAGCACAGTGGTAAATGGAAGCGTGATGAAGGTAGGGGCCTGATTTCAGTGCACAGTTACACAGTGCTTTACAGTTTGAATAAAACCACACATTAAAGATAAATAAACATGTTCCAGCATAGAGACAAAGTCAAATGGGTGAAAGACTGAGAAAAATGGACCTATAAAAACGAGTTTTTAGTAGTCTTTGAAAAACACCACAGATTTAGATGGCTTGATAGGCAGAGACAAGTTGTTACAAAGTTTAGGCACTTCATCCTCAAAAGCTTGATTGCCTCTGGATTTAATACTAAAGAGGGAAACAGTTAAGAGTTAAGAGAGGCTAACTGCTGGAATAAGGTCTCTGCTATATATGCAGGAGCCTGACCATCGAGCTTTTTATGTTTTTATTAAAATTTTTAAATGGATAAAGAATTTATTTGGGCAGTGAAGAGAAGAACGAAGAGGAGTGATGTATGAGTGTCAGCTAGTTTTTTGATGGGCCATCTCTTCGAGATGGAAGAAAGTTAAAGCGTATATACTCAAGATTCAAATTAGAGGTTGGATTTTTGCAGTGTTTCTTAGACGAAAGAAACAAGATTGGATGAACTTTGAGATGTGAAATGTGCATTTCAAATGCTGGTCAAAAAATATACCAACGTTCTTGGCAGATTTGATATTAATGGTGGATGAGCCGATGTAATGACCCCCCCCCACCCCCCACCCCAAAGAAGCTGTCGGGGTGAAAAAGAAGAAGCTTAGTTTTGCCAGGATTGATTCTGTATTCAGCTGTTGTATTATAGTTAATTCCTCTTATTATACTTAATTATACTCTGTTATTCTGGCAGCTTTTTTTCTGCATTGCTGATAAAAACAAGAGTGTGGATGCTGATTTAGTAATTGGCAAAAATGAATAAAATAACATGGAGATCATTTATCCGAATTTCAGGAGCAGGCTCACACTTCATGCATCCCCTTTCCATTCTCTGTTGATATATGACCCCCCTGCACTTTAAGCAGTTTGTTCTCATTTTCATGCCCCAACCTCCCTTGGGCAAACATGGGGATCTGCCCTGTCCGGAAGCCATCTCCAGTCCACTTAGAGACCTTTTCTAAATCGTAGACTCAACTCATTTTCATGCCATTATCTACTAGAAATGCTGTGAGAAATAAATGAGGATGTGGTCTCAGCCAGTGAAGCATCTTACTAAGAAAATGTGAGATAATTGCTGTTAGATCCTCCTTCTTCTTTCAGCAGTTCTTAGAGCTCACCACAGCAGATAATATGCCTTCATCTCACCCTGTAACTAGTATTCTCCTCTGTCACACCAACCCTCTGCATGACCCCTTTCATTCATTCATTCATTTCTTTAAGTAGTCTTTAGGAATAGTTCTAGGACGTTTAAAGCTGTTGTTGAATGTGGGCTGACTTTTGTTTTGTTAGTCTGCCTGCCTTTTGATGCCGCTTATTGGTTCTTGCAATTGGGCTACCAGCTGATAGTGACACAGTGTAGAGTGAGGATATGGATATTTATTTTTATTGTACAGAAGGGTGACATAAATGGTAAAGGGGAAAACTGCTTCCAGGACAGAAACAACCACATTATTCTGCTAACACAACTTCAGTTCTTTGCAAGCATTTGTGCAGACAGCATGCTAACGCTAAGCTAGCCAAGATCCCCAAGTGCTCAGCGAATGCCGACCCCAGCAGCCAGACCCTTAATATCAGGTAACAAACAGATGAACAGTCAGGCTGTAGCCTCTCTTTAACATGCTGCATTCCTTTTAAGAAAAGTTTTCGGTGTAATGTCTGTGAAGGTTCTCAGTCATCCAGGTCATCATAGTGTAAGGAGCTTGGAAACAAAAGCGTCCGGACTTCTTTAAGTTTCCTTGAAGATGTTTCACATCTCATTTGAGAAGCTTCTTCAGTTCTAAGAGCAATTGGTGCAGAGTCCCAGATTTTAAGCCCTATGGGAGTGTCCCCAAGAGAGCCATGGACCCCTTTTGGTCCTACCTAATCACACGAGGCAAAGTGTAGAAACGGGTGTAGTCACAAGCAGCCAAGGTTTCGGGTGAACCCATTGTGAAACCTAGCCCCACCCTATCATGCAATTTACTGAGGTGAAATTGTCCATGTTCTGTTTAAAATGTGTAATAATTACTTTTTTGAGTAATGACTCCAACACTGATCTCAAAGAAGAGGGGAAATACCTCAACAAACATGAAACATTTGACACACAGCATGCAATTAATTTGCATTAATGTAATTTCTTTATTGCTGCTTAGAGATTGTGGTGACTCTCAAAACAGAGCCAATGAGAAACCAATGACAATCCATAAGAGAATCAATAAGGAATTGAATCGATAAGTGATATCAATAATGGAGTTTTTGGAATCTCTGTCATGCTAAAAAATGAAGCTGTTGCCAGTAGGAACTTTTATAGATGGTATTGCGTGGTGGATCCAAATCTGACAGTACTTTTCTGAGTTCATAATTCCATCAATAGTGACAAGCTCTCCAACACTGCTGGCTTCCCCAAGCCATGACAGAGCCTGCACCATGTTTTGCAGAAAACTGTTATATGTCTCGCCTGACCTCCTTCAAACATGGTTTGAATTAAAAATGTGGATAAATCACTCTCTGAGGCCCGTTGCCACTCATTTTTCAAACATTAAACCAAAGAAATGAAAACAAATTATGTATTTTTGTGACAAGCTGCTGTTAACAAAGTGGCTAAAGATACAATTTAAAATTGGTTCTTTGCTAAGTTGTCTGCTTAACACTGGTTCATCCCCTGAAATAGGTAAAATGCTTGAATTATTCATAGGTCAGTGTTAACTGTCTTAGTAAGCAAAAGAAACATTTCTCTGAAAATGGTCAGGTACAAGGACTGGACCGATAATGGGTAAAAAAAAGAAGGAAAAAAAAGCAATTGGCTTTGTTTTATGATTGTTAGAGCATTGAAATGAAATCAGTTAGCGGCACTTGGTGTGTCTTGTCCACTTTTTCTTATGTTCTTGGGGCATAGCAGGACATTGTCATGACTCACATTTGGAGAGTTTTATGTAATCAAGTGTCAAATAATTATGTATTGTGAATAAAAATGCTTAATCACACATTCACAGTGTTTTTCACACTGAATTGCAGCAGCTGCATTAGCAGCAATGATTTCTCTGCAGACAAAGAAA